GAAATATGAGGATACAACCCGTTTTCGTTCCCGTGGGGCCGGGGCCTGTGTCTCTGTCTGTCTGTGGGCATGTCTGCTCTGATTAGATGCTGCTTGTAGCTACAAAAACCAAGTATGTGTGTTGCTGAACTTAGCGGAGAAATGCAGAAAAGTGAAATGATTTGAATCAAAATTGTTACAGCTCAAATGCATTGCAGAGTAGGAAAAATAGTGAAGAAGCTTAATATTTAAAAGAAAAGGTTTCAAAAAGGTATAAACCACAACATTGTCCTGAAATAGCTGAATAAGTTAATAGTTCAATGGTTTCTGCAGCTGAAATTAGGCTGAAGGAGTTAAATATCAGATGTAAGTAGTATGAAGTCTCCATCAGACAGAAAATAATAGGCTGAGACAGTCTGTTAAAGTCCAGTCTGTCAGTGTTGTTTCTGTTCCTGAGCACCTACTCATAACACCCAATCATAACACCTATGTGTGTGTCCAGAGATCAAAGACAGCCAACTGCAGCACTGAGTCCCATAATAATGCATTGAGGAGTATATCTGACAATTTTGCCACCTGTGAGAGAGAGAGAGAGAGAGTGTGTGAGAGAGAGAGAGTGTGTGTGAGAGTGTGAGAGAGAGAGTGTGTGTGAGAGTGTGAGAGAGAGAGTGTGTGTGAGAGAGAGAGAGAGAGAGTTTGTGAGAGAGAGTGTGTGTGAGTATGAAATGACAGTCAGTTAGAACTGACTGCTGTCAGTTGGAGTGATGACATCATCGCGTTCCATAACACAGGTGTTGACAGTTGAGCTAACGAGCTATGTATAGATCAAAGGCTTCATTGTTCTGTATGAGAGATGAACCTCTTACATGTGAACGTTTTGTGGAAGAACGATAATAGATATCTGTGAAATTTCAAAACGTGAAGCATGTCAAGGAAGTTGAGTATCTGAAGTGTAATTTTTGTTTACTTTCGGGTTAATAATGTGGCTTTTTTGGCAGTTTAAGAAAGGTGTGCGGCTGCTGCTGTGAGGAAATATCTGCCTGAAATTACAATGGGCTTTAATGGAGACATGTTGAACGTTTTTGTCACTTCATGCCCTCAAGAGGCATTTTGTTTAATTATTTTGCTTAATTATTTGTCATTTTTCAAGCTACGAGATGTTTTCCTACGTTTCTCATGAAAAATTATGTCTGAGGAGTGTAGGGTTTGGGAATTATGGCAGGTTTAAAACATTTTTTTTGGGAGAATTTCAAGCACTCTTCCACTCTGTTTTGAGATCAAAGCACTCTAGACTTAACGAGCTGCTCCATCCACACTAATGTTAAAATCTGAAGAAAGCCTCTTTACCAAGCTCCAAACTAAGTTAAATATATCAAGAAGTGTAAAAGATATGAAGAATCTGAATAACAAGTTTTATAGCTGAAGGTGTTGTGATCATTTGAAAGTTGGAATGAAGTGTCTAGCTGAAATTATGTGGAAGGAGAAGCATTTGGCGCAAAGTGTAGGAAAAGAGGATTTGAAGGCATCTCCCATTGACTTCAATGTTAAAAAAAAGAGTTTAAAAAGCTGAATATTTCAAAAAGTATAAAATATTTTTAAAAAGTTGAAGGTTTCCCATCGATTCCTGAACAGGCTGAATAGTTTGATATTTGAATGGTTTCTGTAGCTGAAAGTAAGCTGAAGTTATGGAGAGCCAAAATATTGGTGAAATAATAATAAGGGGAAGAATAAAGAAATTGAAGTACTATAGTGGAATGCTGTGGCACAGCATTCGCACTAATAAATATTTGAAGTACTATAGTGGAATGCTGTGGCACAGCATTCGCACTAATAATAATAAGGGGAAGAATAAAGAAATTGAAGTACTATAGTGGAATGCTGTAAACAGCATTCGCACTAATAAGGGGAAGAATAAAGAAATTGAAGTACTATAGTGGAATGCTGTAAACAGCATTCGCACTAATGAAGTTTATATCAGGCACCTCTGTACCCAGGGCCAGACTATTTTACATGCTGCCGAAAATACACAAGGAAAGACATAAATGGTCCTTACCTCATGAAATTCCTCCGGGCAGACCCATAGTGTCTGATTGCAGCAGCGAAACCTACCGCACGGCCGAGTTCATTGACTTTTACCTCTATCCTCTTTCCATCACCCACGCAAGCTACATAAAGGACACCTACGACTTTTTAAGAAGAATTAGACAACTCAATATACCTCAGGACGCCATGTTATTCACCATGGACGTGGATAGCTTATACACAAACATTGACATCCAAGAAGGCATACAAGCCATAAAAAACATATTCTGGAAACACCCTGATAAAAAAAGACCAGATAAGGAATTACTACAATTATTAGAAATAAATTTGACACGTAATGACTTTGAATTTAATGGAGATTTCTTTCTGCAGATTAAAGGCACTGCTATGGGAAAGAAGTTTGCTCCGGCCTATGCGAACATTTTTATGGCAGAGTGGGAAACCTCTGCCCTGTCCTCCTGCCAAAAGACTCCCACATATTATTTCAGATATCTGGATGACATCTGGGGCGTCTGGTCTCACTCAAAGGAGGATTTTGATTTATTTGTTGTCACTCTGAATAACCACAACAAATCCATCTCACTAAAATCCATCACCAGCTACACCTCAGTGGATTTTCTGGACACCACCACATTCAAAGGAATTAACTTCCATAATACACACAAATTGGATGCTAAAGTATTTTTTAAAGAGACCGACACCCACGCCCTGCTCCACAAAACAAGCCACCATCCGAAACACACTTATGCGGGATTGGTTAAATCACAGCTTTTGAGGTTCCATAGAATATGCAGTAACAGAGATGATTTCATAATGGCCACCAAAACGCTTTTTGGAGCATTGATCTCTAGAGGGTATACTCGTTCCTTTCTAAAAACATGCTTTAGAACGTTTCAACAGACGAAACCCGTTTTGGTCTCCTCCAAATTGCCTTTTATCACTACATATTCCCAGTCAGCTGTTAAATTAGTCAGAGTCATCAAATCCAACTTTCAAAACATTATAGGAAAAACGGACATTTTACAAGACCACAATATAATTGTAGCGTTTAGGAAAAACAGAAACCTGCAGTCTTACTTGGTCAAAGCAAAGATACAACCCATATTGACCCCAAATTCCAGGGGTCACGGGGATTTCTTTCAGCAACAAATCTGGTTGCGCAGCAAATACAACAACAATGTTTATAAAACACAGGATCTGGGCAGCCTACTATCTAAAAACTGTGTATACCTTATTACATGTAAACGTTGTGGACTACAGTATGTGGGTGAAACTGGTAACACAATTTCTATACGATTCACTCAACATAGATATAACATTTTGAGAAGAAAAAACACACTTACTCCATTAGTTACTCACTTCCTGCTCCATGGATGGCAATCCGTTCAAGCAGCGGTCCTGGAGTCCAACTCCAGATGGTCTGTGGCCCAGAGACGTAGATGTGAGAGGCTATGGATAGCCAGATTCGACACAGTGTATCCCAGGGGCCTGAATGAGAGATGAACATGCCTTGATGTGTGACAACGACGGAGAGTGCATTCGATCCTACCGCCGCTTCACGGTGACAGGATTCAACATTTATAACGCCTAACCCTACAAATAAAGTGAGAAATGTAGGCCTGTTACATATATTATTGAGTGATATATATTATACACACTGTTCTGCTTTCTGCACTTACCTCAGCAGCTGTTCTCACTGTAAACATCGCGTCACAATGAAAGCAGTTGTATTAAAAAAAAAATAGCCTAACATCCAGGGGAGATGTGATTAGTGAGTAAACAAACGGTAAAGGGCAGAAAGTCTGATGCACATTTGATCATCTTAAATAACTTATAATCACAACGGGAACAGTTTGCAGAGCTGTGCTTCGTTGACATAAGTCCAGCCATGCGTCACGCCAGAATTTGAAAATACACAGCCGGAAAAAATCTGCCACTTCCTTACAGAGCCCCTCCTCCAACACACACGAACGCGCACATGACCAATGAGGGCATGAGATAAGTTTGTGCACAGATGGAAGGCTGACAGGCAGGTAGGCCATCCAGTTATTTTAGCCGGGCCGGCTAAAATGATTGGTCGTGCTTTTTACAGTACTACGGCTTCCACAGATGACATTTTTTTATGGATTTTTTGTCAAAGCACTTAAGATATTCATTGCTATCGGGATGTTAAGAGCATTCCATGGAATATAACAAAAAGTGTATCTCGAGCCGGTTTCTCAAACTTACCTACCCCACCTTTAATCTATAACATTTTATATTGAAGCCTATAATAGTTATTTTTACAAGATCAAATAACCACGCATATACTAATTCACGGTATTTATTTTAGCGCTTTTACAAGCGTCAAAGCGTATATTATATATGATATTACATATATTAGACATGTAGTACATTGAATACTGTGGACAATACCCACAGGAGCAAAGTAGAACAGCCCTAATATAGCATATAGTCTTGCTTTACATTTACACAGATATTGTAAGAGGGTAGTCTATAACCTTACTATAAAATATTTGTGATTTAAAATGCAAATATGTTAACCACTAACCCCTGTTAGTTTACAACTGGTGATCCACATGTATTAACTGTTAAAAGAGTAGTGAGTGTGAACCCCTCCCTCTCTGTCACCGCCCCTTTCTGCTGCGTCTTCCTGTTGGTCAGCACATTAGATCAGTGAGAGGAGGACAGCGCTGTGATTGGTTGATGTGAGTGTGCCTCCTGTCAGTGAGGAGATGCCTTGCATGTGTTCAGTCTTAGACATTATAACCCAAATAAAAGATAAACGGCTCATAATTAACGTGTTCCACGGAGTGTGAGAACATTTTGGCTGGAACAGTGAAATAGCTCTGAGGGTGTTTATTCGGATGGTGCACAATATCACCATTAGCTGAGTGTATACATATGTATCTTAGATTTATGCCTGTGTGTATAAGTATGACTCAGTGTGTGTTTGAACTCTCTTTACTGCAGGTAAAAGAAGCCAAGGTGACAGAGGCCAGGATCAACGAGGCCCGGGAGCTCTACAGACCAGCGGCAGCTCAGGCTTCCTTATTGTACTTCATAATAAATGACCTCAATAAAATTCAGCCCATGTACCAGTTCTCTCTCAAGGTAGCCTGTCTGTTGACATGCCATGTTTCCACCCCCTCCGAGACCCCTCTTTACACTCACTTCTCCGTTCTTCCCCTCCTTCTTCCATTTGCTCCTTGTGTTTTATGCTCTTTGCTCTGCTTTTATTGTGTTTGCTGCTCCCTAATGTGGTTATGTAGAGCATAATGTCTTCCATATTGTCAGCCAGCGTCGCTGAGAGGAGGCAGCCTGAGATATGGTTTGCAATCACTCCGACTCTGCAGTTAGCTGCCCTGGCACAAGTTATTTCCAACATAATCAAATGAAAACACATTCAGACAGCGTATACCTTTGACCTTGAAAATAAAATGAAACCCATTATAATATGTTCTTCACTCTATTTTAGAGCAAAGTGTGACACAGTCTATGATTACTGACAACTATTGTTCTAAAGTTTCACTGTACTGTTGTTACGGCTATCAATTCTTACATGGATTACAGTTCTAGAACCTTTGATTCATATTTAGATGTGTAGATCTCACAGCACACTGCATCATTTCTGCTGTAGTAACCACAAGTAAGATGGGTCAGCTTAAATTGCATGCAATTATTTTAAGGGTGATGTAGCTACATTTGTTCTGTAAGCGGCATGTGTGGAGAATATTCTGCTTGATGTTAGTAGATACTCTCTACAGCACACTGTGTAAATGCTAATGAAGGAACATGTCACAGTGTGGCTTACTGATCTGTGACTATGGCACAGAGGAAGAAGATATAGCAGGTGTTGGTCTTTTAAAGGACCCAGGAATGAGTCAGCATTTTAAAGTAGGCATTTCGAAGCATGAAAACACAATCACGGATACTTGCATGAATTCTTAGCACATTTCAGTGGATCACAGTGAACTGTGGACACGGCAAAAGTAACATTGATAAATTGATCTTATTCCTATTATTGTGATATTAAGATAAAGAACAACTGTCCAATATGAGCAAGTCACTGACTAATATTGATCATTAGTTTCTATTTGGTAGACCCTAACTGTGTATGCAGCTTCATGGTCAGATCAGTACTTGATGTCAGAGAGTGATCCAGTGTGTGTGTGCAGGCCTTCAGGGTGGTGTTCCAGAGAGCGGTTCTGAGGGCGGAGCCGGGCGAGGCTCTGAAGCAGCGGCTGTCTAACCTAACAGACAGCATCACCTCCTCAGTGTTCCAGTATACCACCAGAGGCCTGTTTGAGTGTGACAAGCTCACGTACAGCACTCAGCTCACCTTCCAGGTAGGAGAGAAGGATGTCATCTTCTGCATGGTTGGTTTTCAGAACAAGCCTTCCATTGAATCAGGAGCTCCTGAGAGCAGCGCCTGTTTGGATCTAATCAAGTGAAAATGAAATGTGGTTTGTACTGAAATAGAACAATTCCAAGTCCTTGCTGCTTGTTGTGTCCCCAGATCCTGCTGATGAATTTGTTTGTAGCCTTTATTTAACCAGGTGAAAATCCCATTGAGATCAACGATCTCTTTTTCAAGGGAGACCTGCGTTACATTGGTTACACATAAAAACAACAGAAAACAAAAAGGACATCACAACATAATTACAGGGGTATACATTAGCAACCTATTCACAATGACAGGTATCTAATAACATTTCATCCAGCCGTGCTTTAAAATGATGCAAGGGAATCAAAATGCTCAGTTTCAATGTTTTTTGCATAGTGTTCCAAGCTAGAGGAGCAGCGCACATAAAAGCTTTAGTACCTAAAACAGTCCTAGCACTTGGCACATGTAATAAGAACACATCCTGGGATCTCAGGCAATAGCTACTTGCCACTCTCTGTGAGATCAAAGAGCATATATAAGTCGGTTTACCCAGCATGGCTTTATATATGAATATGTACCAATGACTGAGCCTCCGACCAGTAAGTGAAGGCAGACCTGCCTTGGCATACAGGGTACAGTGATGAGTAAGTGCTTTACAGTTAGTAACAAATCTCAGAGCACTGTGATAGGCGGCATCTAACCTTTCCAGGCAATGGGCAGGTGCATTCATATAGATCAAATCACCATAGTCCAGCACAGGTCAAAAGGTCACAGTGACTAGCCTTTTCCTAGCTTCAAAAGAGAAACAGGACTTGTTTCTGAAAAAGAAACCTAGTCTAACCCTCAGCTTTTTAAGCAGGTTAGTAGTGTTACCAATGCCGCTTCAATCTCATTAGTATGCATAAAAAAGTGACAGGTCACACCTTCTAAGTCCCGCCCCCTAATTATGTTAATGAGCCCCCTTTGATATGCTAATGAGCCCCTTTGTTTGAGGTGTTATCGCGTACAGGTGTTACATCCTCCCCGGTAGCCCCCACCCCCCTCAGCCCACCCCCCTCCCCCTCACATACAGGTGTTACATCCTCACCGGTAGCCCCCACCCTTCTCAGCCCCCACCCCGCTCAGCCCCCACCCTCTCAACCCACCCCCTCCTTACAGCAGGTTTCACATCCTCCCTGTCGCCCCCACCCCCTCCTCAGCCCCCACCCCTCTCAACCCCCTCCTCCTCCCCCCTCCTGTCCGGTCGGCATGTTCGTTACAGTTTAAATCTTCCGGGGCAAAATTAGAAAAGTGCCGGTTAAAGGTCTTCTATGTTATTTAATGAGCTTTGAAACAAACTGATATGATTCGATATTAAACCAACTAATTTTAGTAGATTAATTAACTATTCAAAACGTGTACAGTAATTTACAATAACACGGGAATAATAAACGGACTGCTCTCCCCCCTCCTGACAACACGCCAGTATCAACGTCGCGGGTCCAATAATGAGTGACTCGACAGTAAAACTAAAACATATCTATAACTAGTTTAGGTAGTTTGAGAGGTAATTAAAATAGCTACGTGTGATATCTGAAGAGTGTGTTTTGTTCCGCTCACCGCATGCAGAGATGCATGTCGATTAGTCCGCAGCACCGGGTCTCTCCCGTCAGATTAGACTTTACTACATCTACTGGAGTGCTTTTGTTTTTGTTACTAAGATACTTTTTAGATACACTTTTGAAGTGAGCAACACTCTACAACTGGTAGAAAGTTAAGTACTTTGTATGGAATTGGGTTTTCTTTAGAGCTGTTTTCAGTGAGACAATGTAGTTTCTGATCATTTTAAGTTTCAAGTTTCAAGGCTTTATGGCATATGCCCATTAGCTACAGTGTAGATATGTCAATGAAAAACATAGGTCACAGGCTCCTCCAACAGTGCACATAAAACAGATAAAATACTGCAATTTGTGCGTAATTCTCTCACAAAGGAACTGTAAGATACACGTTTATGTATGGAAAACTTTATAACTTGGTAAAATATTCATTCATTTGTAATAAATTGAGTTTTCTTCAAGAATCAAACTCTAAATGGAGAGTTTGTGATTTTAACACTGTTTCGATGAAACAATGCAGTTTTGATAACTTGACTTGACTAACATTACTTTTTTTTTTAAATATATGTTTTTAGATGCTTTACTTTTGATTTCTTTCATGTTATTTTAACACAACATTAATTTTTTCATATTTTTCAACATACTGTGATATATTTTTTTTTCTCTCCATTATATTTTTGAATATACAGTGATTTTTATCAAAATACAACATGCAACTATTACATTATACAATATTACGACTTTTTGCGATATTTTCAACACAATATACTTTTTTTTTTGTAGGGCTTCAGGATATTTGGCATGTCATGCATAAAACCGGTATCATCTTTCCTGAAACTGACGTGCTGTCCGTTTTACAAACAAGTTATCTTTCTGCTTCTTCACCCTCTGAATTTTCCTCCCCCGTCCCTCTTACTTCAGCCATCACAACAGCAATCAAGTCAGATCTGTGAAATTAAACACCTCTTCCCAAAGCGTGACTTTCCTATTGAGGGAGTGGGGCAGTGGGGCCTAACCCAATTGGCCAAATATACTAACATGCAGAACATATGGTATGTTTGAAAAAAAAAAAGACTAACCATCTATCCAGTTCAAGCTGTCTTTAAGATGTGACATTGCGCTCTGACTTTTTCCCGTAAAATCGTGACAAACTATTACTTATTAAATTTGACCTCATGCTGCTTGGTTGAAAATGATAGATGAGCATTTACCAACAGATCAACGCGCAATCAACCCATACAGGACATCTCTTTCTACACATTATGTGTTATCACTATAATATCATGTCATTATTTAATGTTGTTTTTGTTTGTGAGTGTGTGTACAACGAAGTCTCTTTGAGAGGAAAATTATAATTGAAAGATCTTAATACCCCCTTATTGTTTAATTACTTCACACAACTATTAAAGAATCCCTATATGAAGTTACATGAGGCTACATTTACTGGTGTGCTTCCCTAGATGATGTAAATAGTCTAAGTGTCATGTTAGGGGGGCATTACGGACCTCAGGAGTCCGCCCTTGGAGGCTTGGAGAGCGGATAAAGAGAGGTGTATTTACTGGTGTGGAGCCCTGGATGATGTAAATAGTCCAAGTGCCATGGAACTCAGGAGTCCGCCCTTTGAGGCGTTGTTAACATTAATGCTTTTTGCTTTTTGTTTTTGTTACTAAGATACTTTTTAGCCTTATGATAGGATGAACTTAAGCTGTAGTCAATAAAGACATGTTTAATAGAGTGTTGCTGTTAGAGAACATACCTGCGCAGCACTCCACCACGTCTTGGCGTTGGCTTCATGGCCTTCACTGTCCTCTCCCTTTGAGTTTTTTCAAAGGCGGGGATACATTTTTCCAAATGATCACTTGTTACCTGGTGACAAACATATGGTTATATAACCTTAAAGAACTAACAAAAAATAATTAAGTATTTGCAATGCATAAACATAGAAGTTATCACTGTCATATTATGATCACTTAATGTAAGTAAGTTTAAGTAAAACTAACACAAGTCAATATTATTCACCTGGGCATTAGTGGGCTTGAGGGTCTCAGGGAGCGTGGACAAAGTGACTTGTCTCTGTATTTGAGGATTCTCAGTGCAGGCACTAACAGGAAGCTGCTGTGCATTAGTGGAGAGTCCTCTGAAGGCAGCTGTTATTTCATTTACACACTCATCTGTTACCTGCTGACTCCTCATAGTAAGTCTAGCCAAGTCAGCTGTTAAGTTGTCCATACCATCGCTTGATAACTGGTAACTTTTGATTGACAGTCCAGCCATGGCAGCTGCCAACTCGTCCATATAATTCTTAAGAACGTGTTGACAATACTACAAAAAAGTGTATATATTAGGTCAGTTAACCTTGAAGAGCTAAACAGTTCAAGTGGTAAGTAACTAAGTATTTGCAATGAATAAACATAGAAATGATCACTGTCATATTATATAATCACTTAATAAGGAGATAAGTAAAACTGACACAGACAGTTTAAACTGCTTGTTAAAACGCTATTGCTTATTGTGTTTTCTCAGCACACTAACATAAATAAGGATGTATAATATAAAAAACTAGAAAACGATATAGTATTTTCAAGTCTTACTTTAGTATGGTAAAATTAAGAATAAGTCACATTAAAGTGTGTCATGATTTTCCGTAAAAAAGTCAAGTATAGTTTGTCAAAAGAATATGAAAAAAATCATTTTGTAGAGTAGTATGTTGAAAATCTCAGTGTTTAACTGAACACACCTACATGTGATAATGCCTCGAACAAAGGGGTAATTAGCATACAAAGGGGGGTCACTAGCATCAGTGGGGGAAAGGTGCTACGGGAATGAACTTTGAGGAGGGGGAACTTGTAAGAATTTCCAGCTTTTGAAGACAATTATATGGTACCCGTCCTTACAGCTAAACAAATCCTATGCCAGGTATTCAACAGACCACAAGAAGCACAAGAAGCCCCAGAAAGGATTACATTCAGAGCTAATAATGATGAAACCGAAGAAGAAGCAAAGCAGATTATAATCGTTGCGGGTGAAAGGATAGAGAATTTGCAAGTGATGTTAATGCACTTATCTGATATAAAAAATGCATTCATTTACTTCCAAGAGACCCCTAAACATCTACTTGGGCAATGTGAATTGAACGATAAACCGATCACTGTAAATGAAACGCGGAGAGAGGCAGCAGTGCAAATCGTTAAGTCTATTACCTTGTATCCACTACGACATTAACTTGGTCAAATGTAATATGTCTTTCTGAAGATGTGGCGAATGGTGTGTTTTTCAATTAAACAACCATAACAAATGAAAATGTGTTTTATTTTTGCTTTCATATATAGTAATAGTATTAACTCCTCTGACTAGACTGTACTAAAATAAGACGTTTCACTGTTAAATAAAAATGGAAGTAGAAAATCGAGATAATGATGAGGCTCGTTATGTATCCAGTAACTATGAACAGCAGTTTGAAAATGTTATTTAACCCTTTAACTCTAATTGACAAATCTAAAATAGCCTCTAGCTTATCTATAAGTTTGTGATTTTAACACTTATTCACTGACACAAGGCAGATTATGGCTTTTTTCTCTTGCCAAGATACTTTTAGACACACTTTGAGGTATGCAAAACCTTAAAACTAGAAAATGAAGTACATTGTCTGATTAGATTTTTTCGTAAAGACTGTTTCTCTAAAAGTTTGTGATTTTTAACACTTATTTACTGACACAAGGCAGATTTTGACTTTTTTTCTCTTTTCATGTGTTACCAAGATACTTTTTAGATACACTTTTATGTATGCAACACTTAACAAAGGGGTATAATATGAAGTACTTTGTAAGGGAATGGGGGTTTCTTTAATACCCCGTTTTTTTTTTCTAAAAAACACTTGTACAGTTAAATAATGTAGGTTTTCTCTGATATTCTAGTTATTTTCAGCTACCAAGATACTTTTGTTGATACACTTTTATGTAGGAACATTTGGCAACTGGTAGAATGTCAATTATTTTGTAACAAAAATGTATTTTCTTAAAGACTGTGACTCTAAAAGGGAAGTTGGTGATTTTAACACTTCTATTTTCCCCCCGTTGTCTTTCACTTACTGTTTTGATACAGTTTTATGTATGACAACTTTACAACTGATAGAAAGTTAAGTACTTTTTCTTTCATATTATTTTAACACAACATTACTTTTTTCATATTTTTCAACATACTGTGATATATATATATATTTTTTTTCTCTCCATTATATTTTTGAATATACAGCAAACTCCTGGACTACTATCGTCACCACCATTGTGGACACCCACATATTGCAGTACTACTGCTGCTGATGTTACTCCTGGGGCCAAGACGTCTCTGTTTCTGAACATAGTGAAATCGGAGTTGGTTGATATTCTGGAGAGGGTGCTGCATCGGTACA